TTCTTGGTGCTACGAATGCTAATAATATATACTGCATCAGCCTGATTCTACCCGGGATTACCGCGTAGAGAAGAGTGCATTTTTAATCAGATATTTCGATGCGTATCTGTTACAGATGAGATAAGCCAAGCTATCTGAACTACAACGATATTTTATATTTCCCTGTGTAAGCAACTCGGGTGACTAACTTAGGATAGGTACGGAATTTTTCATTGAAATGACGATCGTGGCCAAGCAGCGACGTAGCGGGTTTGCACATGACAAGTTACCAACCTGCAGAAAGCTTTGAACTGGGCTGGTGATCGAATAAGGCCAACGCAGTCACCCTAACTTTGTTCGTTTTGGTTAGCCGTTTGGATAGAGAAGTAGGGGGAAGTAATGTAATGTTGGGAACCGTACCACTGTGAAGATGTTGAATTCAGGTAGATTAGAATTGCAAATAAGTTGGATAGATTCATATCATTCAGTATTTTCAACCAGTGGTCCCGAAGTTCCAATTAGGGAGGTTTAACGCAACCTATGCGACTAATTCCCCTGATCGAGCAGTCCAATGCTCGTTCTTGTTCGTTCGCATGTCGAGAGATCCTATCTGGTGACATACGTAACACCAAGTCTAGTAGGCATACTCTGCAAACGCTCAATACTTGTTCCAGTGGGTAACTGCGATCGCTCAAAACTCCAAACTTAATCTCAGCATTGCTTGCAAGATTACTTAATCGACCTCTTACAATTCGGTGCCTGTCTTTGTCCTGTGCCCGTAAAGACTAAGTTTGTACGCCGCGTCCGAGAAATCAGCCCAAAAATGCATTAAGCTCATGACGCAAAAAACAGAATGAATTCACTTGTTCCCTTCCATGAGTAATTGCAGAGCTTTGTTCCTGTGCATTTAGATGATCTTATACTACTTCACAAACACTCCATATGTCACCGGGGCTGATGCTAAAGTATTTGCAACCAAATTACCAAGCTCGACAAACAGGTTAAAATGAGTTCAGTTTCAATTCGTTCTAAGAGAAGCAGTTTTCAAGAGTTTGTCAACGGTCTTACACTGCCTTGATTGTCTTGCTTGGATCTCGTTTGCAGCGAAATTGTTTTCTGTTTTTTATGCTTTTGAGTTATGGCGCGAAGGCACAACTTCTCACAGAGTTTATTGCAATTTTTTCTGCCAAATGGCAACTAGCTGGATGGGATTTATTGTTATTTAAATTCTACACGTGCTACTTCAAACCAAATGGATGCATAACTGCATCCAGATTAATGCAATGAGTCTTATTTAAATGTTCTGACAGTGATTGAATACGTTAATTCGACTTGAACTAAGTTGAGTGTCTCTTTGCTGCTTACTTATGGTCTCGCTGTCCTTCACAATATTTGCCTATTTTTCGCTCCGCAAAGAGTATCGTCATACACCTTTTTAATTGCTGACCACCAATGCGAATGAATGAATAGATTATCGATCACTCTGCCTAGATCCGCAATCTTAGTAATGAATGTATTTTCAAGTCACAATATACACCCATTGTTCTGTCACAAAAATCTGAAAATGGCAAAGATAGATCTATTTTTTCGGTACTTCTTGTCAGACCAATACATCACGTAATCGAACATGTAGAGATTAACTGGTCAAGGATGAGCCAAACCGGTGTCTGATCCACAGTTGCACTGAACTTGGGTTAGGGTAATAGTGAGGTCTCAAAAAACTGTTTTTGTGAGCTCACTATTGGTCCGTTTAGCTTGATTGCAATGGCTTTGGCTGTGGATAGGACTCTGTGTTTCACCTCTTTTGATTGACTATAAACTACCCGGTAGGATGACATCGAATGCCCCACTCGTGTCATTTTGTGTCCCGTGTTGACTGCGCGGGTTAAGAGATGGCATTAGTCGCATTTTTATTGATCCCCTCTAATAGTCACGCTAGACAATCACCTAGTGGTCCTTCTCATGTATTACGCAAGTGTATAAAGTGTACAAAAGATTGGATGCCGAATGATCTTTTTGCGGTTGCGTTCTATTTTATGGTTGCGGAACCTGGCCCCTCCGCGTTGAGGATGCTAATTGACTTTCTGTATTCGATCACCAATGTCTCCGAAGCATTGCTCGTGTCTGGTGGGAACATGCGGCCAGCAATGACGAGATTCGTCGTCGTGTGTTGGGTGTGGATAGTGGCTCCCTAACGGAAGTAGTCGCCCTACATCGTCTCCGATGGCTTGGTCCCGTATGACTGCCCATCGATTACCTTTCCTTACCGCGCAAGGCTGGATGAAACGCTGCGGCCGTCAGACCATGACATGGCGTTGAGGTATGAAGAAGTTAGTCTCAGTATTGGATTCGGTTAGTGCAGCTTCCTTTCTAGCCTGGGGCCTAAGGGATCAGTATTTTCGATGGGTAGAGACTCTAAGAGGTATGGCTCAGAATAGAAGTCAATAGCATCAATGCTGTAAGGCTTGTCTGATGAAATCCTGTACCCCATAAAAAAGCAATCAAATAAAACAAAAAGTATCAAAAGTCTACAGTGGAACAAACGAAAGATTATTCTTCTCGTGTTGGAACTTGACTATTTGATCCCCTTCATACTGCTTTGTGTCCCACCCCACCTCATATATATATATATATATATATATATATATATAGGATCTACAGAGGAAGTTGTTTCATATTTACAGGATACACATCTCTATCGTTCACGAATCAGTCGAACTTCACGTTCATGCCTGATTTCATTTTTATAGTTCCATCAGGGTGAGCCCGACAACAGGGACAACGCGGTGGGCAATAGACAGTGATGTTCACGCGAAGGCTGTTGATTCACTGCAGGCCAAGTTTGTGTTCGCTGTCTTTGTTCACTCATCTATCACCGACCTGGTGGACCAAAACAGTATGAATAATGATGGGAGACATGGCAGAATGTGATTAATCGAGAGAGAGAGAGAGGACAAGCCCAGACATGTCACGGATTTGTGTGTGTGATGTATGCGGTCAGGCTTTTGTGCAACTCCATTCAACTATAGTGGCCATTTACTACGCTGTAGTAGTCTGTTTCCGTTCAAAGGGGAAATGTGATTTGTTACCGACGACCGCAGCACTCCGACTGCAAGTGCAGTCATGTTGCGCTAACCACACGCACACACTCGTGCTTGCATCGATTGGTTCACGCCGATTTGATCAAATGCATTCGTCTGATGGACGGGTGACCCACATCACAATAAGTACTCTCTCTCTCTCTGTCTATAGAACCGTCACTGAAAACACGTTGGCACCGGTAATCCACAAATATCAGACCCACATGATGTAAAGAAAAAAATACGTAATTGAAAAACGGCAGTAGCGCATGATAGCATTGTAAACTGTTGTATAGTCTTTCCTGACAAAAATGTATGTTTTTTATGAGCAAAGACAGAATTATTCTAGTCTATCACTGTGATAGATACGACATTTGTCAAAATTGAGACTAATTAGGAAATTCTTTATTATTTTTTCCCCAATTTTGTGTTTGGTTTTAGATGAAATACGTTGCGGTGCTTATCGTCAGCTGTGGAAACCAAATTGCCTGATCACCGGGAAAGAGGACGCGGCAAACAATTTCGGTCGGGGTAATTGCACTGTAGGTAAGCATAAAATGGAAGAGACACTAGAAGCGATTCGGAAATTGGTGGAAGATTCCAATAATTTGGCTGCATTCGAACTAGTGCATTCCCATTCCGGTGGCACGGGGTCAGGGTTCACAACTTTGATCACCGATCAATTGTGTGATGAATATGGGAAAAAATTCAAATTTGGCACATCCATCTTCCCGTCGGCAATGTATTCCCAATCGACCGTGGATCCGTACAATGCTATCTTACATGCACACTCAACAATTGACACTTTGGATTGTGACATTCTTGTGGACAATCAAACCCTGTTCGATCGATGCACGAAAAATCTGAGTATTACGCAACCATCGTTCTCGGAAATCAATCGATTACTTGCTCAAATGCTCAGTTCTTTATTTCTTTCGCATCGTTTCATTTATCACGGTTCCCAACATGCGGACACGACGGAACTGTTGACCAATCTTATCCCTTATCCCCGTATTCATTTTCCCTCTTTATTTTACGCACCTCTGGTTCCACGTAATCAGCTGGAACACGATGCTTTAACTGTACAAGAACTCACTCGGGCCGTGTTTGGAGAGGAGTCACAAACGATCGATTACCCGTGCAAGCGTAATGCCTATATCTCGTGCGCTATGCTCTATCGTGGAGTCAGCAGTCCGAAGCAAGTGTATGATGCTTTACAAGTGGTCAAAAGCACCCCGAGTGTGGGTGCCACATTTGTGGACTGGTGTCCAACCGGTTTCAAAGTTGGCCTGAACTCATATCCCCCTGTTTCGTTCACACATTCACCACTGGCTCAAGCTCCACGATCGGTGTGTATGCTGGCCGGTAATTTGGGTATGCGTGAGGCATGGCATAGAAACAATTTGAAATTTGATGTCCTGTTCAGTCGACGCTGTTTTGTACACTGGTTCATCGGGGAAGGAATTGAGGAGAGTGAATTTATCGAGGCCCGTGATGATATGGCTTATTTGGAACAGGACTATACGGAACTGATGTCCGAAACTGGACCACCACCGGAACCGGATGTGCAACAGGAGACCAATGAGAATAATCCGGTTCTGAATGGGGTTGCACATGAACTAGACGGTGTAAATGCTAGACTAAGTGTGAAACAGGAATTGCAAGAGTTGTCTTCCACGCATATACGTCAGTCGAACAACGCGAACGCGGTACATGCGAACGATTACTATCGTGGCCCCGGAACACAACGCTACGTGTCGACAACGCACAGCGGTCGTGATTCCCGGACTGCATATTCGATTGATTATTACGACCGGCCGGATTATGGGCATACATCGAATCGGTCCCGTGTCAATCGTGTCACGGGCGATGGCGCACCGGTGCGCTCGAATCGAATTGGAACAACAAACTATGCGGAACGATCGCATTGGCCTGCACAATCCTACGATTCCGCTCTTTCGGAAGCAGCCTATTCGCACAATGAAAGGTCATACTACGACGATGGTAGCATGAGTGCACGTGCTTCGAGCCATGCACAACGTTCGAATTTATGGTCTCACAGAAACGACCGCATGACCGCCAGTGATCGACATGCCTCATCCGGTCCGGTAACAAGTGAGTCACATATGCAAACGAGTGATGTAACACAACCGAACGGTCCACGTGATTTGAACATGAACTACCCCAAACATTCCCAAGCGAGCAGCTCGTCGGCCTTTTTGCCGACCGAACCGATAGTACGTCAAAATGATGGAACGTATTCACACGATGATAGTGATCGTTTCCTGGAAGAACCTGCCTCATGTCGTTGGAGTCCAACATGCAGTCAGACTTCATACCTTCCAGATCACTGTACTCGATCGTCTCAGTCATGCAGCTCCTACCCCAGACATCATCCAAACTATCGCGCAAAAAATACACAAAGCTGGCATACTCATGGATCTTACGCGGAAAGTGTTACATCACAAATCAGTTCAAGAGGTATTCCCCTACCGGATGATCAACCCACACCCAGTTTAGGCGAAGATGAACTCAATGAGTCTTCTGGTTTTGTTGCCACACGTGGGCCTAGTGAAGCCACTATTGAATCCCCTCGAATCGAACCTGTTCATGAAAGGGTCACAGACAGTGTGTCTAGTGGATTTGGAACTATGAGTACGGCCGGTTCCAGTCTGACTTATCCAGGATACACAAATCGAACAAATCAGAACTCACAACCTGCACAAATGCATGCAATCAGATCTGGTGATCAGGCCGGCTCGGGTGATCATAGTCACGAATCAAGTGAGCTTTTACCGCACGGAAGACATTCAAAACATCGACAACAGCAAACGCATCATCATCATCATCACCATCGTCGTCGGCATCGTCATCAACATTCGCACTCCAGCATTCCTGATCATTCTCGTAGAAGTCATCATTCACAGGGATCCAATCAGAAACAGTTTACAGGCTTGGAATCACATTTATGTCACGCACAGGATATGACTATGTGTGAATACAGTGGTTTACCTGTGCCGGAAATAGATGGACAACACTGGTCTTTTGTCCGTACAGTGAATGAGAAACGAAGTCAACCGTCTACGGGATACGGACATGGCCAAGGCCAAAGCCAAGGACACTATCGATCGACCTCAATGGTGGCTAAACGTCCGGTCTATGAGGTATCGGTTGCTTCATCACCGGAACAGGATCGAGCCGCAGCTATGACCCCGGTCCTGTCCGCCTGGTCAGCATCGGAAAATGCATCTACGCGTACTCCAGTAGCAAACTACTGAAAACTTCAATACAGTAGTCTGAAATACTGCAGACATTGAGTTGAATAAATTCCGCTCGGTATTGCAGGCCATTTGATCGGTATACTGTATCAGGAAATGAGATGAAGATATTAGTAACTGAGGTTCGG